GCGTTCAATGTAGAGCACGGACATTTTGAATTTTTAAGAATGCCGATGGGATTAAAAAATTCTCCGGCTACATTTCAAAGAGTTATGGATAACGTCTTGAAAGGTCTTCAAAACGTTATATGCCTAGTATATCTTGATGACATCATCGTTTTTAGCACATCTTTACAGGAACATCTTGTTAACCTCGAAAAAGTGTTTCAGAGACTTCGTGAGTCCAACTTCAAAATACAGATGGACAAATCAGAATTTTTAAAATTAGAAACAGCCTACTTAGGTCATATAATTAGCAACGAAGGAATTAAACCTAATCCCGACAAAATTGCCACCATACAAAAGTACCCGATACCAAAAACCACAAAACAAATTAAGCAATTCCTCGGACTTATAGGATATTATCGAAAATTTATACCCGACTTTGCTAAAATAACGAAACCATTCACACAGTGCTTAAAGAAAGGACGGACTATAACCCTTAGTAAAGACTACATAGACTGTTACGAAAAGTGTAAGCAACTTTTGACTAACGACCCAATATTACAGTACCCTGACTTTACAAAAGAATTTATTTTAACAACTGACGCATCAAACGTGGCTTTAGGAGCTATATTGTCACAGGGCCCCATAGGCTCCGATAGACCTATATGTTACGCCTCACGTACCTTAAATGAAAGCGAGATGAATTACAGTACAATTGAGAAAGAATTACTAGCAATCGTGTGGGCCACCAAATACTTTAGACCATATTTATTTGGCCGAAAATTTAAAATAATAACGGACCATAAACCACTACAGTGGATTATGAACCTTAAAGAGCCTAACTCACGTTTGACCAGGTGGCGACTTAAACTTAGCGAGTATGATTACACCATCGTCTATAAAAAGGGCAAAATTAATACAAACGCCGACGCCCTCTCGCGAGTAGAGATACATAATGAAGATGTAAGTTCCATGATAGCGAACCCGTCAGAAAAACCACCCTCAGTCACTGGTTCAACCACCGCCACAGCTCATACCAGTAATGAAAACCCCATATTAGAGGTCCCCATAACCGACGAACCATTGAATAAATTCTATAAGCAAATATGCATAACAGTGGTCGGAGACATCAAAAAACGACCCGTTGTCAGTAAGCCATTTGAAACGCACACTCGCATATCCATACAAGTTTCCCAATCAAACTTAAGAGAAGACGTCATAAACGCCATTAAAGAATTCGTTAATCCTAAAGTAAAAACTGGCCTCCTTATTAATCCAACATTAAGCATGTACGACATTATACCTATAAATCAAATCAAATCAAAGCACCCATTAAACAGCAGTTTAGCATAGTACCACCCCCGAAGAAACCCTTCGAAATAGTTCATATGGACTTGTTCACCGCCCAATCCGAAAAATACCTGACATTTATTGACGTATTCTCTAAGTACGGACAGGCTTACCTGTTGAGAGACGGCACAGCAATTAGCGTATTACAGGGTCTATTGCGGTTCTGCACGCATCATGGTCTACCTTTAACCATAGTAACTGATAATGGTACAGAATTCACAAACCAATTGTTTTCCGAATTCATACGACTTCACAAAATAAATCATCATAAAACCCTAGCACATACACCTAATGACAATGGCAATATAGAGAGATTCCATTCAACCTTGCTAGAACACCTTCGCATACTTCGCTTACAACATAAAAATGAACCTGTAATAAACTTAATGCCTTATGCAATATTAGCTTACAACAGTTCAGTTCACAGTTTCACCAAATGTCGCCCTTTTGACATCATAACGGGACACTTTGACCCTAGAGACCCTCTCGACATCGACATAACAGCCCATTTACTGCAGCAGTACATGGAATCACATAAAGCTCAAATGACTACAGTTTATGAACTCATAAATGAAACCTCACTTGCTAACCGTACATCTCTCATTGAAAATAGAAATAAGAACCGCGAACCAGAAGCGACGTACCAACCTAACCAACAAGTTTTCATTAAAAACCCGATAGCAGCCCGACAAAAGACAGCCCCGAGGTACACTCAAGATAGAGTGTTAGCAGACTTACCAATTCATATCTACACATCGAAAAAACGAGGCCCTATTGCTAAATCCCGACTTAAACGTGCACATAAAGACTTCCGATTGTTACAGGATTCTACTGAACCTCCTGACCCGACATCTGACGACCGCACACGAGATAAAACTTGAGACCCTCGAGAACGGACCTGGACTTTTACCTTTTAAACTCGGACAGACTAGACTCGTATNTCTTACGGAAATCTTTAAGGTTTGATGCACCATACAACATAGATTTGTTAGACTCACTGTCTCGGATGCCATCGATAACATATTCTATAAGAGCATCGTCTTCAATATTACCGTGAAGTGCACACTCTTTCATGTGGAGAAAATACTGCTGGTACGTCTCATCACTTTTCATTTTTCGTGAACTGAGATTCTTATGTATAGCAGCACTATTTAGTTTCAGACCAAATTCTTCTTCGAGTTCATTCGTTAGCTTTGCCCAATCTTTCACACCTCCTAGTGACCGTAAAAATAGCTTGGCAGTTCCACGAAGCAGGCGTTTTGCATAGATAAGTTTTTCGGTTTCCGTCCAGTTCATCAGTTGTGCCGTATCCTCCAATTCGTCAAACCATAATAATATAGGGTAAGTATCATCGCCACTAAAAGTTGTTAATGACTCCTCCAAATCACGGAACGGGATATAAGGTGGGTCATTTCGAGATTCGCGATCTTCTGCTTCTTTAATATCCTTCTTCGGCGGCATCTTTAATGGGTAAGTACCTAAGTTTTGAATTTTCGAAATAAATCGATGTTCTTGTGTTTTTAACCTTCTTATAAAATGTTCTTCGTAAATTTTTTGTTAAGTCGTAATGTCAAGTCGTATGTGCAACGTCTGATATTCGTTAAGTCTTAATATTCGCAAAATCTTCTTATCATCATAATAACTTTCTTCGTAAAACGCGAATAATCGTTATTCGTAAAGTGCAGTAATCGTAAAACTTGCCGTCTTGAACATCATATTTTCATTTCATCTTCGTATATTTATTCGTAAAAATATTAATTTATAATGACGTAATAAACAGTGTCCCGAAGCATTTTTTCAAATATGCATTTCAAACATCGGATCATAATCCACATCCCGAAGCATTCGGTGCAGTGATTGTATCGGTATATGTTGTACTACTACCTTCGTTTTATTCTAGCTCGGGTTGGTAAAACAAATTCAGAATGACTTGCCGGTTGTTTGTATTTTGTTGATAATATCTTCGTAAATCTTCATAGTTCTTCCACACTAATACTTTTCACAATCCCGGACGAGCCCCCAAAATAGTTGTGGGATCGTTCATAAGTAAAAGTGGGATGAATATAGCGAAATTCTTTATTTTACTTTACAATCACTTCGTACACCTCTTTCTAAAACTATTCCATTTATGAACTACCCCCTCTAACCTTAAACTACTATCTCTTTGTGTATCTAATAGAATGTTGCCATTGCAACAGGCACAAAATAAATATTAAGAAAAACAAACTGAAAAAACGTAATAAAAATAACACTCCCCACATATATCTCTCCACTAACACTCAGATATAACGACATACGTGATGGGAGCATTTAAATAATTTTACTGTTAGAGAGTCGAGTACAGAATGCAAGCACAATAACAAGAATCCACAGATACAACTGCCAATTTAGAAACATAAGGCCTCAGCTTCCTTAAGCTAGAACACATTAATGATTCGTGACCTGGTTTATTTACAATTTTACCTTTGGCAACATCTAATTGCATCGAGGTGGTCAAATGTGGAATGGACGGCCCCGGCGCTGGACTAGGATACACTGCGTAGTACTTGTCGATATCTTCAGGATCTTTCGGTACAAATCCCCCTATAAAATAAATTAAAACAGTTTGAGAGAAAAAGAGACATAGACAAAAAATACTGGTTTTAAGTTTATAAATAACCTACACAATATATAATTACATTTCGAACAACGGTTTTCCAGATGAAAAATTAACTTTGTGAAATTTCTTCAGCATTTTTGTCAGAAATACTTGCAATTTATCTAAAAACTGGTAGATGCAGAGTCCAAAATAATCTGTACATCCGCTTACTTCAGATATCGTTCATATTTTTTTAGCAATTGGTCCACTTTGGAACGTTGGGTTCACATATCACTCTGTTGTATGTGTATTAATTAGATATAGCATATTTGAAAGCATATTTTACCTTCAGTTTCTGCGGGTGGCGAAAACAAACTGATAGCAGGAGTTTCCACTTCGTATTTGGAAGGTTCACTTGAAGGTTTGGCCGTCATGACTTTAGGCACATTAGCCTGATCGTCCAGGGCAGTCGGTACAGTATATTCGAGGTCATTACTGCTGCTCCCAAATGCAGAATTTGATAAGTTGATTTCGGGTAACAAACTAGGGTACTCTGCTCCTTTGTTGGATATAAACACAGGATATTTCGGAGGATAGACATCTTCTCTTCTTGTAGCAAATAAAGTGTCTTTGGTGTCACTTGTTGGGTAATAAACAGGAAACTTATCTTCTCTTTCTAAAATTGGATACGTTAAGGTTGCTTTAGAAGTTTCATCATCCACCACGGCATCTGCTGCTACGAAGGGTATTATTCTGAAATTAAAGTATTACGAATTAGTAACTAATTCAACTTTTAATTAGTTGCGGAAGTCAATGGCTAAATTAAACTTAAATAGGCTAGAATTAACTTAAGATAAATACTTAATTAGTACGTAATTACTTAAGTTACTACTTAAAAGTTAAGTCTCAGTTTTACACTAGAACGGCTGCACTCTTCAAAACGAAACACATTACTGCTTCACGATAAAAATAGATAGGTTGACCGTACCTACCCGAGCGGATTCACTAGAGGCCCTACCATCACTGAATTTTGTTATAAAGTTTGTTTCTTAAATTTCCATGATGTCATTTCTAATACAGATGTTCAAAACTACGTTATATCTTGTGATCAACATGTGATTAACATTACGAATACAAAAAAAATACAGTAAGGGCAAACCAAGTTAGAAAAGAACAAGTATGTTTGTTATTTTATTGAATCGCATGCGTTTCCGTATTAATGGTATCCATACCATTCATGCATTCACGTTAGGTTAGTTTACCCAACAAAAATATTGAGACTAAGCTGCTATCTCTACTTTAATTTCATTGTTAAAACATTCAAATTATTAGATGGAAACATATCTATTTATATGAAAAAAATTGAAAAGGGTCAACATACTTTAAATTAGGTAGGGATGGTGGTAAAGTTGGCTCTGTATAATCGTAGTCATAATCTCCTTTGGTCTTCTTAGAAGTATTCGCAGCGTCAACCATGTTATTTGGGATTGGCTTAGATGCAGACACAATTGGAGGCTTGGTTTGACTTGTATTCGTCACCAGCGAACTAGTAACATTTATAGTGAATGTTTCGCTTTCGTCAAAACCCAGGGTTCTATCAGTGATGATGTCATTTGGAGGATAGGTCTGCGCTTCAAAGTCATCAGTATTAACTATGGGTATTCTCGGCTGTACATCGAAAATATTAGTTTCATTTAAAGTTGTATTATATGGTATTTTTGTGGATGACAATTCAGCTGTACAATTAATTGTACCATTAACCATGATTTTCACAGTGCCTTCGGATTGTTCTACGGCTTTTTCAGTAGTAACGTCAGTCTGCATTTGGTCTGTGGTTGTCACTTTTTCTGGGATTACAGTTGACGTGCTATTAACAGGTTTAGCACTTTGCAGATTTGATATTTCTTCAGTTTTCCTTTTCACTTTAGTTGTGGCAACTAGGTCATTTGTAATTACCGTTGACGGTGTATTTATTTTAGTGATAATGCTACCGGTTGTGCTTTCAAGCCCTATTGTCTTCATGTCGTGGAATGAACGATCTTCATTATCACTGGATCCCAGCAGGCTGTTAGGTGCTTTGTATGAATATGTAACAATACGATGTTCTGAAATATTAATTAGTTCGATGAGGTCAGAAATATATTAATTTGAATTTTTTAGTTTAAATTTATACAACCTACTAATGAGAATACCCTGTTTTATACCTTGCCCGTGCTCACAGTGGTAATGTCGTGGACAGCACTCCCCTGGGACCATAAAAGGAGTGCAACCCCTCAGCGGTGGAGCACACTGGACCGTATGGCACCGAACGGCACCACGCAGACAAAAACACTGGGAACAACTACTTTCTTCCGATTTTTGTACTCTTTGTCCTTCAGGTACCCACGTACCTTTTACTTGGCAGTCTGAAATTTGTTTTTTTTTCTGATTTTAGTCAGTTCTCACTTCAAAGAACTTTTTAGAGAAATTACCATAACAATAATAAAATAAGTACCCAAGAAACTGCGAAAGAAACAATTAAACATCCAAACACATTTACAGACATTTGCTGATACATTTGTAACGCTTAGAATACTCCACCCATCGTTGTTAGCCGAGTCTTTTGACATACAGTATTAACCTTTGTTTTGTTACTGACGGGACGGAAACTCTTTACCCACTTTACGGTTACCGCCGCACCGACAACATAACCTGAATAAGTCACAGCTCACCTTGAGACATACCATCCAATTAATTATCAATTGAACTTTTGTACATCGACTCTCTTATCTTTGAAATCAAAATCATTATTGCCTCGCAATAGAAATAGGGTAGCCAGCGTCCGTGAGCGACAGATATCACTATTGTTCGTATTCTAGCTCTTTTGGCAGCTACTGGAAAATTCCCGGTGTTTTCCAAGCACTATGACATGTTTTTCTTCAAACCAGACTTGCGGAGAGTACTCACCAATAGACAGCGATTTGACTGCTGCCCTGATATTGCTGACGTTGATTAGCGTCGGTAAGATTGTATGGCTGTCTGCCTAGGACAATAAAAAAAATCTGTATTATCACGTGCTTACTCACCGCGCGTACTATTTTGATGTGGTGAATCCGCATGCTGGCAGTAATATCTTTGAGGACAACAAGCCCCAGAAGCGGGTTGAGGCTTACAACCCGGGGGCGGTGGGAGACACTTAGGCCGGAGACAGCGACGTTCAGCCTGAAGGCAGAAGCAAGATTCGCAGGCTGCTGTCGGACGTAGGGCTGATCCTGCTGCATATACGGTACCACCTTCCACGCAAGCTGGAAACACTGAATAAGTATTCGAAGGTTTATAATTGTAGATGTGTGATGTCTATAGGCTGCAGAACCCGCTCTGCCCTGAACTCGTTAACTCCAATGCGCAATGTCCTAACGAGTGAATTAAGTACATACATACGTATTACGTATTCTATGTACTTAACACTATTTACGGATGACTTTTTCCTACGCTGCAGGAATATCGTGGAATAAAAAATAAGCCATTGCAGGAAGGCTGGCAGATGTGAAATATTGATATTATTTTGTACAGGTATAGATAAAATTTAATATAAAAGGATACGGTTTTACCGCAGAAAATTCATTTCACATAATGAATATTAAAATACTAATATTAAAAAACAGTTGCATACGCATGGCGACGCGTCGCCACACAGTACACACTACTACAATAATAATTGGTTTAACGTGCGGCTATAAACTTTTCACATCAAAAATCAAACCAACGAAAATTGTTTTTATATGTACCCGATTATTAAGCCATTGAGACGTAGAGTCCAAGACTCAAGGTGGATAGCTGCATATACGTTGTGATGTCTATGGGTTCCTTCCTGTAACCACTTAACACCAGGTGGGCCGTGAGCTCATTCGGACGTCTACGCAATAAAAATAAAAGACTAGTTAAAAAACTACCGTTACGTCGTAATATCCTCTTCGCGTTCTACCGAATTGGTTAATATAAGAGATAACTCCAATTACTGAGTAATTTGTGATAGTACAATTAATTAACTTATTACCACAAATTATCCTGTATAATTCTATGAATTGTGTAGTTAAGGAATTATAATGTTTTTAAGCCTAACGGAGCATTATTATGTAATTTGGTCTTAAATGATTTTTATTTATTTAGTAATTCTGCAATGCTTCTATGCGAAAGGTGGCAATTCCTTCAGCTACCACCACTTTTCCATCGTCTGTCGGTTCATCATGTACTCCCCTCCCTCGTTCTCAGCTGGTTGAATGGTTCATTTACGTTATTAATAGATACCATTTTTTTCATTGCCCCTTATGTTACCTCAATGAAGCTATCAGAGACTTTGGTTGTATCAGGGTACGCCATAATCAAACACGATTCGAACTTGGTGAAGGAATCCACATTACACTCTCTGGGAGCTTCGTTAATCGCTGAGCATCAATGCCGCGAGCTCTGTATTGATACACTAGTCAAAAATTTACACATATAATAGACATTGGCCAACTCACCATTGGTAGGTGGAAGGAAATCCTCTTTGAGGTTGTCTTCGGATCTTGCTGCCCCACTGTGATCTATCGCGACACCATCTTTGAAACAAAATTACAATTTATCCTCATTGTCTGTTTTTAACCGAAATTAGTCGCTCATGGACATCAGCACTGACAGAGATAGAGCAGGCCGCTGCTCTTTTGAATCTCTTAAAAAGCTACTGTGAATGGTGGTTCTAACTTTTATGAATAAACGCAACAACATAAATTATTAAAAAACTAGCTGACCCGGCAGACTTCGTAGTGCCTCAATCGATAAATAAAAGACCTAAACTTTTGTATAAAATAAACTTAAAACAAACAAAAGGAATCCGTCCGACGGGGGACACAACAGAGGAAAAACAAAATTATTATTTTTATTTAATTTCGAGCATTTTCATATTTATCTACCTTTTAAGCCTCTAGGCTTCCACAAATAATTCAAGACCAAAATTAGCCAAATCGGTCCAGCCTTTCTCGAGTTTTAGCGAGACTAACGAACAGCAATTCATTTTTATATATATAGATTAAGACACGGACCAGGGCACTGAAGTTCTGGGCAGCAGCTGCCTTTCCTGTAGATTGCGTGACACTTCCTAGGAGGTGGATCCGGTAGTGGGGCACATGCTCTTCTCCGGCAGGTCAGGGCTCCACTGCTACAGATACATTGAAGACAAGCTTCTCTTGTGTCTACTTCCCCTCCGTCGCTAAACCAACGACCGCCGTACAGGCAGTCTGCTGGTAGACTGGAACCTGAAAGTTAAAATGATTATTTATAAATTATTGAATTGGTTGCAGTAAACGGTTTAAAGTCGCTCAGTGAACTATGGAGAGGGCTATGCTTGGAGTTTCTCCGAAAGTTCAAATCCGGGACGGGGTGATCCGACAGAGAACCAAAGTTAAATGTATAGCACAGCGAATTCGTGAGCTGAAGTGGCAACGGGCTGGCCATATTAGCCGGACAACCGATAACCGTTGGGGTAAACGTATTCTTGAGTGGAGACCGCGAATTGGAAAACGCAGTCCAGGACGCCTTCAGGCTCGGTGGAGTGATGATTTGTGCAGGGTGGCTCGCAGGAGCTGGATGAGAGAAGCCGAGGATCGTGCTCAGTGGCGAACAATTGGAGAGGCTTTATGTCCCGCAGTGGACTGCGATAGGCTGATAATGTTGAGTAAATGGTCGGCCGAACTCCTGGCCCGCCTGATGTTAAGGGATTGTCAAATTCACGGCAGGATGACTTGTGTTATAAAGCTTATGTTAATTGGATATCGAACAAAGAAAGAGATACAACAACAGGATCGCCGCCTTAAGGTTGAACTCATACTCTTCAACCTGTAACACATGGTGTTGTGAATGGCCGGGGCAGCTATACTGGTCCATGCGAGTTCAGAAGCAGTCTACTACTAGTAGATTAACATGAGGACCGTTATGTCGATATAATTTGATCCCAGAACTCAGTAATCACTGCCCAGAACCCAGTACCCAGTATGGATTATTCATTTGGTTGTGATTACAAAATTTTATAGGTCCACGACTCACCAAGTGCCTTGTGACTTCGTTCCTTAAGCAGCCTCTCCGTTATATTTGTGCCTAAAAACATAAAACAACCACAAATTATTACTTAAACTTATATGTATATCTGAAATCATCAGCGCAATACGAAATGAAATCATCAGCGTTATACAGCGCAATGCGAATTAAATATGGAAGCCTTGAAAAATAACCAACAATTCGTAAAAAAAAACATTACTAAGAGTAAATAAGATGATTTACTCTTAGGTTTTATTAGAACTAAATCCTGCACACGCCCGCCTGGACCTGACTCAACTGATTGTGCAATGTTCAATGTTGAAATCATCGTGGCTTAAAGGATAAGACGTCCGCTGCATTCGTGTTGAAGCGATGCACCGGTGTTCGAATCCCGCAGGCGGGTACCAATTTTTCTGATGAAATACGTACTTAACAAATTGACACGATTGACCATGATGATTGATGAGACCATGATATATGCGCCACTGATATGCGCCCCCTAGGCACGGAAACCCCGTGCTTGAGGTTAAGAGACCCCTGCCCAAAAAAAAACATGGTGGGGTTCGACCTCTAAATTTAAATTTAGCTAAATCTTCGCACTATCTGTCTGAATGTGTATATTCAAAACCATTATAAACACAACCATAAAGTAGCGGGATAAAACCACTCTTATATTCAAATCAAAAAGCCTACAATTCCATAGCACTTCAAGTAATTTTAAGTCCTTAAATTCACTGCAAGGGAAATTTGTCTCTATTGTAATACAGCTTTGTACTAAATTGAAATGATCGTTTGCCTTTAAAAGGCTCGCAGACGGCTGTTATAAAAGTCAATCGGTCCAGTGACCCCGGCTTACTATACACATTAATATGCGAAATTATAATACACCTCAAACACCAGACTCTATGAAGACTATTGGACTTAAAAATGGGTGTTTGTACTACATTATGTATACCCGTTATTAAATACACAATTCTGGCAGCTTGGATGAGTTCACCGTTGACATGATAATGTCGATGATAAATGCTAACCAAAGCCATATCCAATACCTGCTTATCTAACCTCATACAAAAGACAATCACTTTTCCAGCACACATTGAGTAGCTACTAAACAATGCGGGATATGAAGTTATCTCGAAGTCTCATCGGAACCGGTATCCTGAGTTGATCGGAACAAGGAAAACGCTACGGAACCGAACCGACGGCCGCAAAAAACTTCAACTACATTAGCCATTTTAATATCTACAGTTCTAAATACTTCAAACAGATGGCCTGTTCTAAAATGATACACGAAATCCCTTCGCAGATATGTCTAAAGCAACAGTGTTAGTACTGGGATCATATTACTGCACAAACTTAAACTTTATAATAATTACATAAACTTAATTTTACATAATTAACTTAATTTTTTTATTACTTAGATGGGTGGACGAGCTCACACCCCAGCTAGTATTAAGTGGTTACTGGAGCCCATAGACATCTACGACGTAAATGCGCCACCCACCTTGAGATTTGAGTTCTAAGGTCTCAAGTAGTTACAACGCTGCCCCACCCTTCAAACCGAAACGCATTACTGCTTCACGGGAGAAATAGGCAGGGTGGTGATACCTACCCGTGCGGACTCACAAGAGGTTCTACCACCTCTAATTATGCAAATTATAATTTAGCGGTTTCAATTTTATTACACGATGTCATTCCTTCACCGTGGAGGTCAATCGTGAACATTTGTCAGACAGGGTATCCAATAATAAATATAAATATCCTTCAAATGACTCACATGACCTCAGTAGCAACATAACAATATCCTAAGTAGTGCCGAAGTTGGGATTTTTACTATAATATCTTTGCTATATGCTGTCGCGGACTTTTTTTTAGATCTTTTAAAGGGAAGTAATTCTGTCATTCATTGTTTTAGCGAAACTTTAATAGTTTCTGCAGCGCACGCTGCGGAAGCTCTCAAAAGGGAAAAAATCCAGATTTTGAAACATTACTTATTGACGCTCCGCTTGTCTTAGCGTGATGTTATAATATAGCCTATAGCCTTCCTCAATAAATGGGCTATCTAACACTGAAATAATTTTTCAAATTGGACCAGTAGTTCCTGAGATTAGCGCGTTCAAACAAACAAACTCTTCAGCTTTATAATATTAGTATAGATTTTACATAATTGAACATTACGATGATATGTATACATTTGATATGTTTATAATTAGTAAAAATAAGTAGTTAGTAAAAAGCCAACTACGTGCCTAACAAAATTCAACAAAAAGAACAGCGCAGACGAAGAACAGATTTTACTTATCCTGGGAGCACGTATCAAAACTCAAGATATGTTCATATTGCCTATGACGTCACTATGAATCTGAGGAAGCATTCTAACATTTTTGTAGTTGGATTTGTTTGTTACGATTCTTTAAATTAAACAATTGTTGCTTGAATCCAAATCTCATGCAGAACACCGGAACTACGAAAATTCTCAGGGTCATGAGATCCTATTGTCTACTAAAAAAGCTCAGTGGCTTCATTTTAAGAGTCTTATCTCTAAATGTATCTTTACGACTGATCAAAGTTTTTTTAATTTTTTTTATTGCCCTTGTAGGCAAACGAGCATACGGCCCACCTGATGGTGAATGGTTATCGTCGCCCATGGACTTCAGCAATACCAGGGGCAGAGCCAAGCCGCTACCTATGCAAGACAAGAGGGGTCGTCGTACCCCCTGACGGGGGCACGGAACGGGCCTCGGGGCAAACCCCACTGCCCGAGCTGAAACTCCCTGCCACATAGGGCAGGGGTGAAATAATGCAGGAAGAACTGGGGAGAGGTACGCTGTTCGCAGCGCACACGGCTGCACTACATCGACAAAATATAAATACATAAATATAATAACGATGGGCTTGTTTCTCCTGGGTGGAGTGATGCCCGCGGAGGAGTCTCCCTGGCGCCGGCTGCTGTCCTCTGCTTCCTTAATGCTAATGTTTTTTTTTTCCTTATAACTATCTACAACTAATTACAACTAAACTAAAACTAACTACCCTATATGTACAAAAGCATGGACAACAGTCAGCATCGTGGGGCCCGCCACCGGCCCCATGCCGCGGCCCCACCTCTACAAACCAGAGGGGGAGCCGCGGCACTAGTTTAGCGCTCACACGCTAGGGGCTCCCCAGAAGGGGAAGACCGTCGCGGAGAGGGACCGACGTAAAATCACTCCCCTTAGGGGGGAGTGGTCCACCCAAACGGGCGGTAGAAATGGGTCCCCATAGGGGGGCACCCCAACAGTGTGGGGGGAAATAAAGAGTGTGGACAGCTCAGTCCCATGGGGGCACTCATTATGAGCACTCCCATATCACTCCGATTAAGCCGACTATCTTACCATAGCCGGGGGTTCCAGTAGCTCCCTTGGTAGCGCCCGACCATCAGGTGGTTTTGCGTGCAAAAGAGCTAAGTTGTGGAGATGCTCGTGGGGTCCAGCGTCAGCCCGCTCGTAAAGATTACGAGCTAGCCTCCGGATGAACTCCTCGAGCGACTCCACATCCAGGTCCCGGGCGATTACGGCATTACTGACGTAACGCCCTGCTCCGACTATCGTGCGAAGAGCCAGATTCTGCTGGGCCTGTAACTTCACCCGCATGATCTGCGGGATGAGGTGATACCAGGTCGCAGCTGCGTACGTGATACGGGAACGAACATACGTCTTGTAAATGCCGAGTCTAGTCCTGGTCGGCAACCTGGAGGCCAACACCGGCTGGAGGAGAAACCTCGCGTAGCGGGCGGCCGCCAACGCCGACTTGGCGTGGGCGGTCATCCTCAAACTCCGGTCGATATTGACTCCCAGGTATCGGACACTGGGCCTAAACTCGACATTGACTCCACGAAGACTGAGCTGTCCTGGGACGACTCTTGTGCGGACCGGACCGAAGAGAATAGCCCCGGTCTTCCCCACGTTGACCGCGACCCTCCATCGGTCCAGCCAATGGGGCAGTAGGTCCAACAGCCTCTGCATCCTTGAAATGGCTCTACCTATGCAAAATGTCTTAGAATGATGACTTTATGTGTAAGTAAACACTTTAGTGACTCTGCGTTCCCCGCATGTTAACTACGGCCGAACCCGCATCGGTCAGTAGACGACACATGCAACGCCAATCACTAATAGCTTAAAGATGACGCAGTGCTTTCTTAAATCCACACCAGCACATGTTTAAGGTTTACTCCATTTTCTCACATACAGAGCTTGTTTTGTGAAATACATAAATGTATTCCATTCGCACGAGAAATCTTGCATGGTAACTTTTCCAAAAACATAATAGTAAAGTGTTCTGTCTAATCTGTAATGAATACTATGGTAATTCCAAAACAATGCTTTTAATTACGAGCATCGACCTCTTGGACTCGTAGCTGGTAGGTATCTCAAGCTTTCAACTAAATCTCTTCACACGGCTCTAAGCATGGTAACAATAAGACTTTTTAATTGTTACTGAAATAGCCTTTATAAACCTTCAATTAAACGTTATCATCGCTTCTTTTGTTACATTACGACTATATATACGGCTCTAAAGTAAAGTATTTTCCAAATATATATTTATATTTATTTACGAATTTCAGCTTTTACTTAGATAATCAGTATCGATTAAAAGACACTGGTTAGTATTAATCTACAAAAAGTTTTATTAAAAAAATCACTCTAAGGTAACTATGACTCGTTTATAATGGGATACCTCAAATTTAAAAAAAAGAGTGTTCCAATAAAATGTAGGTATAAACGTAACGAGATTTTTTTTTGCCAAATATGTTTTAATTACGCGTTGTAAAGAAGTTCAAAGAAGTTAACTTTGAGCCGTATCTGTGATCTTATGCATAATCATCCCGGTGTAATCGTGATGAAAATATTCCGGGACACAAATACTAAAAGCATGTTCTATTCTGAAGTAAATATAAGCTTGCACGGGTAAGTACATACGTCCATCCTGCTAACTACTGCCACAAATCAACACTGGAGCTTGGAGCCATACATTACAGTTGACACTAAATCTCGTGGCAAGATTCCTCATGTGAACTGAGTAGAGTTCCGTAGCCACTTAATACAAGATTAGCCGTGATGTCACCTGCCGCCTACACTAACAAATCCGTACTGTTCATTCCAAATTCATAACTTTTTCTTGTATATGATGATCATTATAAATCGGCCTTATCTACTAAAATCATACAGTCTGTTGAACCTACATTTACAAAACACGTCATGTGTACACTCGAACTCTAAGACTCAATCATTAAAAATCACAAGACCGGTGAACGTAACACTACACATAACGGAATTACAAATTTGTCATTCACACAAACACTCACAGAATTTGCAGAACAAAATATCTCACATTCATTACTATTCCGGTTGACTCTTGATAGAGACAACATATTAGAGACAGTAGACCTAAGACCCTATATACACCGTAATTATTATATACCAACTAATCGCTTAGGCCTGCCCTAGGTGGGGCCTTGTGAGACTCCTCAAGTGACAACGAACGCATGTACGCATGTAAATAATAGTGCACTGTAGAATATAATAAACCGATCGATGGCAGACCGATTAGAAAACTTCCACGCGAACAAAAAAATGCTGGAAATAACTGGATAAGACAAGCGAAGAGAAACAAATCATATAGATTACGCTATTTGTTGAAGCAGCCCGTCCGCGCGTACTTAGAGTAGCGCCGTGGACTCCTACTAAAGATGAAGTAGAAAAAACAAAAGTTGAAGGAAGTCCTGAAAAGTTAGAAGGCCTCCGAAATGTCAAAAGTTTCAGCCTGATGGAATTCGTAAACATTAGTCCTAGGAGATCCAATATTTATAATTTATAATTTATAATTTTAACTATTATTAAAAAGTGTCTGACAAACTTCAAATATCACCTAGGCCGCCTTACCACTGCCCCATAGAGTTAAAGTATCAACGTGACATAACTGGCTGTACCATTAGCATTCAGCATTAGTATTATGAATGATCAATAGTATCTGCAGTCCACTATAATGCTAACTGTAAGAATTACAATGTAATTGACACTTCGGCCTCGTGTACAGATAAGCTAGCGCATATTACCACGTGTGCTTTGAACACATCTACCAAAATAAAATAAGCACATGATTCATCCTGCCTGAAATTTTGGCCACAGTAGTTAGTTTCCATCATTGTCGCGTCAATGGCGTGTGCACTTAACACTACGTCAGGTACCACGAGAGGATTATTTATAGTGTTGACTATTCGGGGTAAGGGTTTTCATATTCAAGTTCCGCATGTGCGTTTAAGGCATCTACAACTCAAGAAACTTTTACTGGTGGTAGGAACTCTTGTGAGTCCGCACGGGTAGGTACTACCCTGCCTATTTCTGCCGTGAAGCAGTAATGCGTTTCGGCTTGAAGGGTGGGGCAGCCGTTGTAACTATACTGAGGCCTTAGAACTTATATTTCAAGGTGGGTGGCGCATTTACGTTGTAGATGTCTATGAGCTCCAGTAATCACTTAACACTAGGGCTGTGAGCTCGTCCACCCATCTAAGCAATAAAAAAAAAACAATTCCACAAATAAAAACTAACCTATGCTGAGATTTTGGTGTAAAATAATAGCTACATACATTTAGCATACATACATTATTTGTAATCAGAAAAAATATACCTACCTGACTGAGAAGACTCAACATACAGTGCAAAATACTGAGAGAGAAATAAATACAATACCTATTAGTTAGTGTGAAGAGACTTTAAAAAGCACACGTCAATGACATTGTAATGTAAATACGCGGTCCTTGAGCCGTTGTTCTAGAGGCCCACTGACCCAGTGACGTCGCGAGTTAGACCTCTTGTCACTGCAACCAGATACTCGCAACACGCCTCACTAGTCCACACTCTAATTTACATTATTCAAAGCCTAAAGAATACTGTGAATTGAATAGTTACAAAACACATGCTTCGTGGATATTACTCGTTATGACATGAAAACACAAGCTCCATGCGATACAATTAGGCAATCCTTTCATCTCTTGATTCAGGATCCATGGATTTTTCCAGACGCAATGCGAAAATTGATTTTAGCAGTGAAACAAAATGAATGTGTCGACAAAATCAAAACCAAGACAACTGACAGCAATATTACAGCAAAAAAGTTCTAATATCGATGAAAGGTGTGGGATGATCCTCGCCTATCCCTAACTGAAGCTTTGTTTCATATACCGGCGTTAACATTTAGTATACCGTAAATAATTTGAATTTGCGGTAGGCCGGCTATTGTATATGTAGGTCCCCCATGGCTACATCCATGAGCCATGTAAGTAGTTAAAATTGTCAATTTTTGGCAAATTATTAACCATCACGACGAGGAATTTATACTATACTCGTACAACATCCAGCTCTATCGTTGCTAAAAATAACGAGTCAAAACGTGTCCTAACATGCTATCAGAATTGATTGAACCAGCGCCGCGCTGGAGTGGTCACATCGTATCTTTTAAGGTGGAATTTACATTGATATTAACATAATTATGGGATAATAAAAAATATTTTATGTTTTTTACATTCAAGTATTAAATGCCAAGCAAGTTTTTACTGTGAATATTGGCTAAACATTGAAATTATTCGCATGCCACAACTCTATAGGTACTTCAACTATACTATACATACTAGAGTCACCACTACTGATAGAAATAATGGTTAATTATTGTTCTGAATTGACTAGAAACATCAAAAATAAGAATGATTGAACATTAAAAATGTTCAAAAGGCAGCTCTAACACATATTAATTACCACTGTACAGTGTACACCACAAATATTAATTATCAATATTAAATTAACAATGAATGTAAAATCGCGAAGCAAGCGTGTTATCAGAATTATAATCATTTGTCAAAAATATGCACACCTGAGCTTTCCACGCTGCTTATGAATGAAGTGAGGATACTTACGGATGTTCGAAAGTTCAATAAAAATATGAACTTGAATAGAGCTTGGCATAAATATATACAATGGCTTTTTAATCGAAACATTCTGGTTTCGTTTTTTCCGTTTTCAGGTATCGTCAATTCGTTCATTGCCAGCCGCTAATAACTAAATATTTTGGCAATTGAATAGCGATCCACCTGGGATCATCTCGTTGACCACGGCACGCATTCAGGTTCTGTTCATGACACGCCTTATAACAATAACAATTAAACATTGTTATTCCTGTCTTAAATCAACTTAACTAGTGACCGCGGCGGAAGCATCAACGTAATGTTTTCTTCACCTATTATTATCTTTGGATTTTGTTAATGTTATTATCTTTTTTACGTTGTATGAAACTATTGAACTATATAACTATTTCTACGAGCATAACACAATTCAGTTATTACGAGCAGTTTATGTGATTTACAACTGTCGATCAACTTTCAATTTTTAACCGTCATCGCAAAAAAAAACGAACAACTTAATAAAAGAACGAATGAATACGAAATAAAAGAAACATTTAAAATCACAGCATGAAAACTAAAATTTTGGCTAGTGTGAGTATTTAAAAGCACCGTGTTCATTCCTGAGTACGTGCCAGAGGTCAACGTCCGATATTTGCATGATGACAAAGGACCTGAGCACGCGGCGAGGAGGCTTGCGAGCGCGACAGTCACCACCGGGAACGACATCACGCACCGTCCCACCGAGCTTCACTGAGCCCGCGCTCTGTCAGGCGGTCAGGCGGCTCCAACAACGTGCCTTGTGGGAAACGGTTCGACTAAGAATGTTTAGAGGTGGCTTATTATATATATTCATTTTTGAGTCGATAATTTAGTAACGAAATCAATGATTTATTTCAACAAATTGTATCTATCGAATATCTCATAGTCAGAATATCTGCTCTCATGTGTTAATAATCATATTATTGTACCTATGGCTCTACGGGCGGACTTTGAGTCTCTCTGTGTTTGTATCGTATGTTCCATGGGGTGTGTACTGAGGAATCGGTTTTTTTTTGCCTCAGAGGAAAGTTTATTCATACTGCTCTATGTAGCAACTCCATTGTTCTCTTGGAATTGCTGACGTCCATTAGCGACGGTAACCACCTTTCATCAGGTGAGCCATCTTCTCGTTTGCATAAAAGGCAATTAAAAAACGCTGACAATATAGTTATATATCCCAATATAATTTCCCTATTCTTATATTCATAACCTGTCTCTAGTCAATAATATCAAACTCAAGATTAATCTCGTAAAGTTGAAATAACATGAAATTTGAAAACTTTTAGCGCGGATTATTCCAGCTTGAAGCGATATTTAGAACTACATATTACTTGATTATTGAGCTACTAAATGTTTTTTAATTATTTTTTCTATATAGTGACACTTTAACTCGATATAGTCATCATGATGACATCAGCTCCGAGGAATTCATCAAATACAGCGGTCGTCCGGGGATACCAGGGAACATAATATTCATCCATCGTACTTCTATGATCTTTGAAGGACCACTATACATACTTGCCTATGCAAGTTACAATATATGGAAAGAAATTTAGTTAGAAATGTTTATCAAAATAAGTTAAAAAACAAAAGATTCATTTTAATTTTATGAAAAACATTAATTTTATGGCAGATCTGTTACTTCTTAGCACTGCGCACCCAAAGGCAGTGCGGTCTGCGACTCGACCAACGACTCATCCACTTGTAGATTTGAAGCTAGCACTCACCGGTTTTACGTCACCGAGAGCTTTAAGCTTTTGAATTTTTAATCGGTTCGCAGGGGTTTAAATTTAAATATTATTATGAGTTAGTAAAGATAACGAGTCTGTAAAGGACGTAATACGCATATGATGAAAAAAAGGACCGCTGAAAGATAGTTTTGGTTCGAGAGATTGTCATCAGTGATTACGATATACGACTGAATTGGAGGTCGCTCTGTGATCATTGGCTAATTATTATTTAATGAGAAAATTTGTCTCAAAACGATGCACATTCAGGCTTGGCAAGTAGTCATTAAGCAGATTTATATCGTTTGTCCTTTTTTTGAGTTACAAATGTAGAATCGTGATCCTGACGACGTCACCCGTTCCGGACGTAAAAGTAGTTATTCGTGAAAAAGATAACGTCTACGATAAGTTTACTAATCACTAATTCATTGACACTATGAACTAAATTTTTACGACTCAACCATATTAATATAATCTTGCAAACAATTATCTCACATTTTTTATTTACGTCGTGCGGATAACATTTACTGGCTCTTAGTCAACAGGCTTTGGTGTTTAATTTATTATTCTTGCGTATAATAATGAGTATTTTTATTATGAAATATCATACGTGTTCTCTTGTACTTTGGGATTCGACGCATTTAAATATATAGGATTTGATTTACATAAAATACACAACATTATACGCATGTGTCTTAACTAATTTATTTCATCAAAACTAAATAAATCACTGTTATAAAAAAAATATAAATATTGTTAAGCGAGTTGTCGCAGGCAAACCCGTGGGTCACATCTGTGATCATAGCTGCCAACGAGTCAGGGTCACAGGAATACAAAAACTTCGTATCTACCTTACTTTGTTGATATGCGTGTCGCAGAACCGATGGCCGATGGAGCAGACGTGTTCTGGATTGGAGACCACGTACCGGTAAGCGCAGCGTTGGGCGTCCCCTTGCACGTTGGATCGATGACTTGCGGCGATATGCTGGGAAAGATTGGATGCGGAAGGTGGAAGATCGTTCATTGTGGCGGACGATTGGAGAAGCCTCTATCCAACATTGGAGAGATATAGGCTGATGATACGTTTGGCCTTAAGATACGTTTGAAGAAAAACAGAAGGACGTTTAAAAAGTATACTGATTTGAACTCCATCGCTCATCGCAGACGGTGGCCGATCCTCCGCGAATGTTTATCAGAATCATAGATAATACACATAAACTAAATATTTGTGACCATCATTCAGGAGCGTCCCCGAAAATATTCCGCCATCTTTGTCTTTATCAACATAACACGACGTACACACTGTTTGCACAGTATTGCACCCATCCGTTCTAGGACTAAGCTTCATCGGTCGTGTCGGCAACATATACCTATTTCTTCTTTCAAACTCTATGACATATCTGTCTCTTTAAAACTTGTAAAGAAAAACCTTTAGTATTTAGAACCTTTAAAACTCTTTAGTTTTAAAAAAAGTTTTTTCTTAAACGGGTTGACTGACCTATCTGTTTGTCATTCGGTAAAAAGAGGAGTTCAGTTTGAATACTGTTTAAAATAATAATTTAAAAAGAAGATTTAAAGGCTTTAAATCTTGTTTTCTTAGTATTTAACAGAAAACGCCATAAGTCTTTTATTGTTCACTCGTTCTAGAATATTCCACATAATTATATACTTATCTTCCTAAATACTCATCTGTGTACTGGCGATCTGTCGTCGTCCCGCTCGTTTCTGCCACAATCGAGATTTGGGACCCGTTCTCCAAACAGAGGTGCGAATGTCACTACACAGCAAGTATTGTTATTAGAACGAATTTTGAAAGTAATTGAACCGAGATCCATATTTGTTTTAAAAGCATTTAGTTTTCATTCTACCTAATATATAATTTATATTATGTAATTAACATGTTGCGCAACCTGTGATTACTTTGTAGGGCCAGGTCATTGACCGTTGGACAGACGTTCGTCCGATCCGCGGTGCCTTCCCCGCCCTTTGTTAATATTGTTATTAATATTTTACGACGTTATTAATATTGTTCAAATTTATGGCTTACTATGAATTAAAATAATACAGCGAGACTGTGCATTACAATGAGAAAACGGTGCCTGATACTACAGATTGTAACGCTTTTGCGTGTTAGATTAACAATGTGTCATTTTTTCCCTACCTGATAGCCTATTTCAGCTTCTCCTTGACGTGTAGGTGAGCTCACGGGACTCAAACCGTAGTGTTGCTAAAACTGGCAAGAGCAGTACTTCACAGAATCTGCTACCAGATCGGAAACGCGACCCACTGTGAAGATCCGGCGAGAAACTCAGTGGGCTGTGCCTATGGGTTAATTCTCTCGTCGAGCCCTTTATCGCAAGCGACGGGTTCGACGAGGACGGTGACCGGTGCTTGTGGTACCTAAAAGCACCGTTAATGGATCAGAAGGATCCGTAATGACGTGAATGTGTCATAGAATGCTTACGGCGCACCGGGAGCAAGCGCTCGCAACTGTCGTGCTAGCTGCGCTTTGCATTAAGACATAGACTTTGTACTTGAAACTTGAATAAATATATCTGATATGAATATATAAAATAATGAATAGGACTGGACGCATGTAAGTTTTTTTTTTTTTATGATTGAAGAATTACTGGTGGCCCGGAGGCCTTTCCAGTTTCACCAGGACAGGAGGTGGACGCATGTAAGTGTGAGGCGAGACACTGTGAGCTCTTGGTACGGACTGGCAGCTACCGCTCGCACTATCCTTCTGGACAAAAACCGAGCCTTCCACTAATGGAGCCGACGGGCAGTTTGACATCGCTCTACGGTTACAAATTAATAATAATAATAATAATAATAAACATTTATTCCAAACATTAGGTACAAAAAAATAAAAACAAGGATAAGAAAAATAACGAGGCTTGGAAACGGTTACCGGCTCAGCAATGCCTAACAGTAACGAAACAATCGGTACTGCGGCGCTGATCTTCCGCCGGCACCTGCGGAGTGACGCGCACACCAGCATCAGACCGATCAATCGTTATGCACTTGAGTTTGAGTTCAGCAAATTATTTCTTTTATTTTTAACACGCTATACTTTGATAAGATAGCTAGATTTAAACAAACACAAGTACACAACAATGTAAAATTTAAAAAAAACACGAATTAAAAAAAATGTTACGAAAAGGACAACAAAATGAAATATATTAAATTATGGGTAGTTACTCGTGAAACAACTGTACTGCACCCTACTACATACTATATTATATAATACAGATCTAAATGAACTAAAGAAGATGAACATTAGAATTGCCAGAAACCTGATATTCCAGATTTCCTTTTTGTATGGCACCGAGACCTGGACCAGAGAAGCAGCTGACACATTCATGCTTCTGAGATATGGCGCTGGTCGCGTATACTACAGATTCTAGAGAGGGCCTTCCGTATATCCATCCTGAATAAACTGAAACTGGACCAGAGGTTATCCGCCATAAGGCTCCAGAGAGTGCTGAGTGCCGAACGCGCGAACACCAGCCAACCGTTATTTGTCACCGAGCGACCTCGACATCACCTCGACCTCGTCACTCGGTAGGCAGCGGCTTGGCTCTGCTCCTGGCATTGCTGAAGTCCATGGGCGACGGTAACCACTCACCATCAGTTGGGCTGTATGCTCTCGTCTGCCCACAAGGGCAAAAAAAAAGATTCCTTGAAAACGTCGTTAGTCAGATAGATACAGGCCCTGATAGAGGTCCAGATGATTTATGTGTCCCCACGTAACTTCCATTCGCTGTCGTACACCCTACAATGTAGCGTGCTTAAAATACAAGCGAGTGACAGAACTGTATTACATAATTTATAGCGTATCTCTTTAATACTTGTTGTACTTGTGTGTATTGTTGTACTTGTACATTTCAAGATTTAACAACTAGAACCTCAGATACGTCGCTACATTGTTGCTGCAATACATTAAACGTTTGAGGAAAAAATATTGCGCTGGAAGT